CAAAAACGAATGATATGTTTGTAACCAGGACATCGAATAGCCCCTATACACAAAAGTTCAGAAAATTAGGATCTCGACCCAGCTTGCCATGGGAGATCGTAGCATGTCAGGCTCAACGGAAATAGTTGTTTGGAGGTGATCTCCTTGCTGTAGTGCTCACGAAATGAGAAATTCATTCACAGTTGACAATGGTAGACCCCTAAGCTGGTGATGGCCGAGAAGTTACGCACAATCTGTGTCGTTAGGTTCCCTCCTTGTCAGTAGTGGCAGTTTGCGTTCCTGACCATGGTAGTGGCTGGGCACGCTGACGACAGTGTGCATCGCGTGGGACCGTGTGCAGCGCATGCGCTGCACACACAAATTGTTTATTTTTTTCGCGCATGCCCTACTTCTTTTCTGATTTTTTTGCATTTATTTTAGATCACATCACAACAGACCATAAACGGTGTGGTTGACCGAAAGGTTGAATATTTTCCACTTTTGCAAAGTTTCTTGACTTTTACGATTTCCTTCCTCATTTTCTTTGCTCTTTTTCGAACATGAATGTAAAAAAGAGATGTATAATTAAGTACAGATCTACAGTGCGCGTCAATTTCTTATGCCACCCCTGATTTTTCAGTTTTCTGACTTATTTGGAAATTTCGTAAATCGGCATAGCAACCATCGTTTTCGGCGTGTCGGAAAACTAAGAATGGTGTTGTTTGATTTTGGTTAACGCGTGGATTTGAATTGCTCTGTTCTTTTGAAGAAAATGGGCCGCGTCAATTGCTTATGCCATCCTAAAGTTTCTTCGGAATTTCTCATGTCTCTAACGCTATTCAGCTACGGTGTGCATGTAGAGAAATCCTCCTCTTATGCAATGCACACAAATGGTGGAGCAATAACAAATAAGTTCGGAATATTAGCCTTGCGGTAGCAGCATGAAAACCCTTCATCAGCGAAAGAGGTGTGCGTAGCCTTTAAATTCACGGGTCTGTTGTCCGACGGTGGGACATCTGTTGACGCAATCCGTTGGCAAGGAAAACATGTTAAGAACTGTGAAGCCTACCGTTGCTCTCAAGTGTAGACAAAACAGAACATGTCAGGTACTACGGCCTTGACATGTCTTGTGTTGTTAAGTGTTGAGAGCGAGAGTCTGTATGTCAGGTCCTAACATGTTCTTCTCTGTTAGTACCAGCGCGAACAGTTACGTCAGCTGACCCAATTCACTTTTTCCCGCATCGAATCCGTGGTCAACTTTATTTGTGGTCTCGGCTCCCGCGAAGCTCGAAGCGTTCACGCTCACAAAGTCTCTGTTCAGAGAGAATATGAGTTGCACTCACAATCCGCGTAGTACCCATCGCCGAACTTTGTCGGATTCTCTCTGGAAAAATTTTCGTACCGAGCGAGCGAAAATGATGACATGGGCCAGTTGTAACTTGAACGGGACACCGAAGTGGTGGCATGGGCCATCATTGCATCGCCTTGATAAGAAAACTTCGATCGAGTTCAGTGATGGGTACCAGACGGATAGTAGGTACGAGTCATATTCTCTCTGAACAGAGACTTTGTGAGCGTGAACGCTTCGAGCTTCGCGGGAGCCGAGACCACAAATAAAGTTGACCACGGATTCAAAGCGGGAAAAAATGTGAATTTAGAGCTACTTGAGCACTTCAATTTCCCAGTTTTGCCTGGATACACTCCTCGATGAGTTCTACAATAAGCAGCAGGAGCGATCGCAAAAGTGAGCACACAGCACTTTCTCTGATAAAGCGTTTTCATGCTGCTACCGTCCAGTATAAGGGCTAATATTCCGAACTAATTAGTTATAAATGCTCCACCATTTGTGTGCATTGCATAAGTGGAGGATTTCCTCATTTGTATTACATGCACACCGTAGCTGAATAGCGTTAGAGACATGAGAAATTCTGAAGAAACTTTAGGATGGCAAGCTAGCCTTTAAAGCGAGAGGTGCGGGTTCTAGTCCCGCCTGGGGCGAAAGTTTTGTTCACAACCCAGCATTCTTGTGAAACATTCGCAAGGCGAACTGCGGCCAAAAACAGCAGTTAACAAACAAAAACAAGTCAAAATATCATTCAAATTATATTGAAAAAAAAGAAAGAAAAGGAATTATGCGCATCCAATTTTGTAAAAGAAGTTGAAGCTGGAATTATCGCACACTGTAGAGAAAACTTGGAAAAATCATGGAATCGGCGATAAACTAAAGAGGTGTTCATTGTGGCAATTGTATTTGTTTTAGAAAATCCATTTTGTTGGATTTTTCCATTTTTTCCTCTCCAGGATTTTTCATACTTTCCTTATTTCAAAAATGTTCTAGTCGACGGTACTCGATGGGAACGGGTCGGCAGCTGCCAACGCGTTCTACAAAAGCATCGATGCGGCCCCGAATATGAATGTGGCCAGAACGAAGACGAGTATTCCACTCGTCTCGGAACTTGTGAGTTTTCGATCTATTATGAAACGATGTAGAAATTGCTTTTTTTTCTGAGTTTTTTTTTTCTCACAAGCGTGATTCCATAAGGAGAAGCAGCACATGATTTGTTGATATGTGGCAAATGAGTTGTAGAAGAAGTTCGTGCACTTTTATTTGGGTGTCAATATCGTTTTTTTACCGAAGTGAATTACATAAGATTCTTGCACTAACCCATGGCGTAAAACTTTCTGCAAAGGATAGGCGTTTTGCCAGCCTGCAACGCGTGCTATCTCGGGAATAAGGCCTGTCTCACAGCGCTATCAGAGATCATGTCGTCCTCTAAACCATAGCTTTCGTGGATATCCGTAAACGTGCACTCCAATATTCATTTGCTGTGCAATGCAATGAGGGTTTGCTGCCCTGTTCCAGTGATGTGAGAATAGGAAACCGCGCTTTTCACGCCTATCTGTCCACAATTCGAGAATGGCGGAGATTTTTCCTGAAAATTTTCCGTCACGGTAAATTGGCTGTAATTCGAGCCCCTATAACTGGTTTGATCCGGAAAACAAGCATATAATCTTTGTTATAGGCGATAGTGAACAGCCTGCTCTAGGTGCCGACGCCCAATGTATCTCACCCATTCTTTACCGCGACCTTTTTTTGAAAACTGCCCGTTTGAACCAGAACGGTACAAGAAGTGTCAGTCACCGGTGGCTGACACTGTCCCGAATGAACCTGTTGGTGGCAGCCAAAACGGTGGTTGACAATTGTCCAATGCAAGGTTCAATACCCCTGGGCAAATGCAATCGGATCGGATGCATGTTGATAGAAGAGTAATAGGGTATATGAGCACGGTTTTCCAAATCAGTCCACAGTAAGTAAAGTGAGAACGGCCGAGGAACTTTGTCTGGAAGAGAATTGCACGAGCTTTTTCTTCAACTAACAATGAGCATTTTCCGTTCACTATGCAGGGCGTTTCAACGTCGAGTGCTGCTTGACGGTAAGAGGGAATTGGGGACGTACTTTGCTTTTGGATTCAAAAAAGAATATTGATTTGCTTGTATGAAGAAATTTGGGAAAATATGGCCTCATCCCAAAAGCGATAAGTCGGATGTTGGGGAATAGAATAGCAGAAAAAACGCTAATCATAAGGTTAGGTTAGGGGGGGGGGAGATGTGAGTGCAAGCGTTTTTTCACGGAAAAGCTGTCCAATTTTTATTTTGATTAGCTCCTTCGTCGCTCCCTAACCTTTTGTGAGTGGTATAGGACTTTTAGGCATGAAGCGTTATTGCTAAACACCTTAGACTCATGGGTCGCCCTATCACCAGGAAAAGACGATATCAGTTTGAAAATAGCCTTATCTGGAGCACAAACAGTAATTTGCACTGAGCTGAGAATTTTTTCTGATGACTGCTTTCAGGTAAACCTAAATGCATGTGTTAATTAGAATATATTGTGTTTTCAGGTGTTGAAGGTAAGAAATCCGTCACATCATTCCATACACGGTAAAGCATGGCCCTCAAACGCTTTCTTTGACAAAATATGGCTTGATCGATCCTTTCCTGAAATTCTTTTTCTTACCAAATATGGTCGAAAAAATCATCTAGAGATATCCGGGAAGTTTTTTTTTCCGATGTAGAGGGACTTTCCTATCTCTTCCGGTACTTTCAAAGATCTTGAGCGATAGTGGGAAATTTTCGTGATTATCAAAAGATGGGTTATAATTGAAGGACACGGTAACGATTGATGCGCTCATCAGCATCAATCAATACCGTATACTTGATCATGTCCAATTTTCCGATTCACTACTCTTACAAAGGTAAAACGGGACCCTTTTGCGGGTGATCGCCAGCCATATGAGCATGCATTTTTTTTTCGAAATTTCCTTAGTTTTCTTTATTTTGCTTTATTTTTGAACCGCTTTTTGTTCTCACTGGTTTTACTAACCTGCTCAACCTGCAGCTGCTAAAGTGGCACCGCTTTTAACGGAATGAATTATTATTGGCTGTGAACTTGTCTTTGAGTAATTCGGCAGCATGGTAAAAGTTTTTTGTTGAGCAGTAAATAGTGAGAATATGCTTTTAAAGAGTCTATGCTAACATTAACCCGCATGAACTAACAAGCTTTTTTACGTTCTTTTTTTTTGACAGCAGCTAACTAACCTTAGATGCTTTGCTTTGTTTTTGGTTCTTGGTTTGTATTGTTCGAATTATTGATATGCTTTAGACGATGGCCACAAAGAGAGCTCAGGCCGGACTTGCCAACGCCGCCAAGTCGACATTTGGAGATGAGGAATTGGTGAGCTTTGTTAGGACCCTTTAGACGTGCCCTGAGCCGAATAATTTCACGAGTTGCGTTCTATTTTGATGGTCGACACGTCGCTCTTGACCTCTTCAGAATTTATTTTCTGGCATAGTGGGAATTTTCTGGCTGGGTGAAAAGCAATCCTAGCGTTTTGCAATTCTTGCGTATGCCTGAGAAAATGATACACCATAAGGAGCAGTTCGCTACTTTGGTTGTAGGTGTGGTTCGAAAGATGGGCTGGGTTTGTGAAGGTCAGCTCGGTTTGGAAATTCATCGACTCAATTGACATCGAAGAGCAGTGTGCGCGTGAGCCA